CGGGGCGCAGTGGGGGCCGCCGGCGTCACCCACCACCCATGGTCGCCTCGGGCCGGAGCCGGAGCAGTCACCCGCCGGGGCCCTGCGCTGCCTTCCCGTCCCCGAGAAGCAGCCCACAGCGAGGACGTCGGGCGGTCGCTGCGCGTCACCCCAGGAAACACTGGCCCGGCCTCTCCTTGCCCCTTGTCCCACGCCACCAGGAGCAGGGCAATACCAGGACTCTGGTGTTTTTATTTAGGTAGGACCCTGGTATTTAGCTTCTGCAAGTAAGAGGGGAATCGACAGCGCAGACCACTGACTCGGAGAACACATCGGTCGTAGTTTATTGCTTAAGCCCGGAGACAGCTTCACGATATCAGTGCAAAGTTGACATGAAAAAAATATTAAGATATCCAAATACATGATAACTTGAATATATTAACTCTATTTTAATACAAATATTTTAAATATATGGAAGAACAATAAATTAGGAGTCAGCACGCGTTCCTTTGTTGTCTTGGAAAGGCAATCGGGCCATAACAGTTCTCTAAGAATGAGGTAGCAGTATTTTAAATACGGACTACGTTTCATAGACCTACTATTATATAAGTTAAAAATAAAACACGTGTTCTGAATCGCGGCTTTGTCTTTTTGTTTGAGCCCAGCTGAAGAAAAGCAGACGTTCGAACGCTTTCTGCAGCTAGGGCTTGTTGGTCTGGACTCTCTAGGTTACGCGATATAAAAATAAGTTATTTAAATAAAACACGATAATAAATAAACTGGAGCAGTAAGGTGCCACGGAGCAGCTGTTCCATTGAAAGTTGTCCTACGAGCTGTCACCTGTGCTGTACAGTCCTGGTCTTCACCAGCAATAATTTAAAAGCCGGCTGACAACGTGGAGGACATGTTGCGTTGACAGTTAGACTAGGTTACGCGATATAAAAATAAGTTATTTAAATAAAACACGATAATAAATAAACTGGAGCAGTAAGGTGCCACGGAGCAGCTGTTCCATTGAAAGTTGTCCTACGAGCTGTCACCTGTGCTGTACAGTCCTGGTCTTCACCAGCAATAATTTAAAAGCCGGCTGACAACGTGGAGGACATGTTGCGTTGACAGTTAGAGATGCCAGATACGGACCCCCCCCCTCCCACCCCCCTTCCCCTTTCGTCCCTCGGGCCGTTTGGGCTGCCGGGCGGCGGCGGCGGCCCTTCCTCG